GACATAAGCTATCTATTTTACATTCATTTTTAGTCATATTATTGCACATGTAAATTCCAAGTACTGTTATTTGTTAGTTTGCATAAATCCATACATACAGGCAATGCTTAGAGAAAGCCAACAGGAAGTAACAAAGACCTTCACATTAGACAGCCACATGTAATTGAGTGCAGTGGGGCAGTGTCACGAGAAAGGTAATTCTGCAGGACAACATAACATTCTCATCATATCCTAGTTTGGAGAAACAGATTACCTAACCTGGCTTTTGCAGAAATCTGATTTGGTTGTTTTGGGGAACGCCTGACTAAGCTTCTTGACTTAACTCTAATACTACTTCTGATGTCTCCATCCTTGATTTTGCTTTTTATTCATAAATAGCACCACACTAGGAGAATATTATCACACCACCTCTCTAAGTGGTTTGAGCAGCCAGATTAGAGATCTCTACCTTGCACCGAATGCCAATTAGCTGTTTTACTAGTAAGTCAATATTTGTGACCAATACAGGAATATTTCTTACAGTTGCAAAGCTCATCATGCTTTAATTTACATCTCTACGTTTCCCTAACAGCAATTAAAAAAGGAAAGAAATTTGTAACAAGAGGATATAAGGATAGGATGAGAGCAGAGGCTCCAAGTGTATAAATACAAATCACAAATGGTCAACTACTGGTAAACATAAATTCATGCACAATGAGAGGATGTTCTGTAGGGTGCCTAGGGCTCTGCACATTAGACAATACCTGGCACATTACCATGGTGCCAAGCATTATGAAAAAGTCTGTCCTCAGGCAGACCAGGGAGGAAGGCAAAGGGAGCTGTAAGAAAAGTACAGTGTGGTGCGATTACAGCTGCTCTGCAGGTCGTTCATTCAGAATGATGTAGAAGTGATCACTGAGACTGATTTTTCTTGCCTGCCACATATGTCATCAGACTTGTATATAGTATCCTAGAACCCGGCCTTCTATTATATAAATATATTTTTCGCCTACTACAACACAGTGGCACAGAGCAGGAGAATGGAAAGTTTTCTAGCACCTTTAAAAAATGTGAAGCTGATCCAAATAAGGACAATATAAGCGATTATAAACTACAGGTAAAATGCAGAAATAAAAGAAGGCAGTCCAAAAATTTGTTTGAAATACAATATGCAAATTACATGGCAAGTACCAATTTTTTTCAAGTCTATCAGAATCAGATAGCATTGTATAAATGCAGTTCTATACTATGTCACCTCAAAAAAACCAGAGTAGAATTGGAAAAGGTATTGAGAAGGATGACAAGAATGATTAAAGGTATGAAATATCTTCTGGTTTATACAATCATGCCATAAATGTGGTGAATAGAGAACAACTTGTTACTGTTTCTTTTTCCATAAGAACTAGAGGACACAAGTGAAAACAGCAGGTGCTAAATTCAAAGCAGACAAACATCTTCACATAATAAATAAATTATGGAACTTCTTGTACAAAACTTTGTGGGTTTAAAGCATTTACATGGGTTCAAAATGAGACTGAATAAATCCACTGAAGAAATAGCCCTACAGGATTCAAAGTACAAAGAAAATTGTGAGCTTAAAAGTGGCTTAGCTACAGTTGGGTGGAGGCCTTAATTAACTGCATGCTTGCAATGATCTTACATGCTCCACCAGAAAACCATTACTGGCCAATGCCAGCGATGGAACACTGGGTATATGGTCTGGTATATTGGATTTCTGGTCTGATTCAGAAATACTTATTTCTCCCTTTCAGACACTTAGGTTTTCAGGGTGCAACGCGAGTACTTTCCTATATTTATCTAAGAGTAAACACCATAAAGATGGTAATTAAAACCACAACTTTTAAATGATCTACCAATATTTCATATGACCTAGAAGAAATATTCATAAATATAAGCTAGGGTGTTATCATAAAATAGGAATTCTGTTCCACATTTGTCCCCATAGTAATAATTCATGTAGACAGATAGAGGTATTGGAGAGGATGGAATAAAAACAAGTAATTCTATTTTCCAGAAAGGAAAATAAAATTTATTTAAAGATACAACTTGTCTGAAGAAGGCTGCATCCCAAGTTACGTAAAGACACTCCTCTCTTTCTTATGTCTGTCCAACATAACTGTGCCAGAATCTTTACTCTAATGCATCCACTTCCATTGTATCCTGTCTCTGAATCACTCCAATGGCTTTTTTGGTTATCAGATTATTTCTACTGAAGCTTCCCCCATGTCTGACAGAGCCAATGCCAGTCGGCTCCAAGATGGACCCGCTGCTGGCCAAGGCTGAGCCCATCAGCGATGGTGGTAGTGCCTCTGGGAGAACAGATTTAAGAAGGGGAAAAAACCTGCTCAAAGGCAGCCAGAGAGAGGAGTGAGAATATGTGAGAGGAACAGCCCTGCAGACCCCCAGGTCAGTGCAGAAGGAGGAGGAGGAGGAGAAGGTGCTCCAGGCGCCGGAGCAGAGATTCCCCTGCAGCCCGTGGGGAAGGCCATGGTGAGGCAGGCTGTCCTCCTGCAGCCCAGGGAGCTCCATGGGGGAGCAGATCTCCACCTGCAGCCCAGGGAGGACCCCACGCCGGAGCAGGGGGATGCCCAAAGGAGGCTGTGACCCCGTGGGAACCCTGCGCTGGAGCAGGGTCCTGGCAGGACCCATGGAGAGAGGAGCCCATGCTGGAGCGGGTTTTCTGGCAGGACTTGTGACCCCGTGGGGGACGCACACTGGAGCAGTGTGTCCTGAAGGACTGCAGCCTGTGGAAGGGACCCACGCTGGAGCAATCTGTGAAGAACTGCAGCCCGTGGGAAGGGCCCACGTTGGAGAAATTCGTGAAGGACTGTCTGCTGTGGGAGGGACCCCACACTGGAGCAGGGAATGAGTGCGGAGTCCTCCCCCTGAGGAGGAAGGAGCGGCAGAGACAAGGGGGGAGGAACTGACCCCAACCCCCATTCCCCATCCCCCTGCGCCGCCGGGGGGAGGAGGGAGAGAAAACCGGGAGTGGGGGTGAGCTGGGAAGAAGGGAGAGGTGGGGGGAATGTACTTTAAGATGTGGTTTTATTTCTTATTACCCTACTCTGATCTGACTGGTAATAAATCAAATTAATTTTCCCCAAGTTCAGTCTGTTTTGCCCGTGACGGTAATTGGTGAGTGATCTCTCCCTGTCCTTATCTAGACCCACAAGCCTTTCGTTATATTTTTTCTCCCCTGTCCAGCTGTGGAGGGGGAGTGATATAGCGGCTTTGGTGGGCACCTGGCCTCCAGCCAGGGTTAACCCACCACAATCTACAAATTCTCAAAGGACTGCAAAAAACCAAGTGTTGCTACCATCAGAGAAAGCCACTAGTTTCCACAGCATCTGCAAGAACTGTCGGAAACAAACTACTTCCCTGTGCTTAACAGATGGCTAATCATTATCGGAAGCTCCTAATATCTCTGTAGTTTTTACAATAATTGTTTACTTCAGGCTTTCATTTTTTATTTACACTCTAATTGACACAGTCAAGAGTTAAGTTACTGCTGTTACTATTAACTTAAAATTGAAAGCTGGATTTGCAGTACTATGATCTTATTAACATATCACAGTGGGAACAGAGAAATACATTGATTGGAAAAAAAAAAATCAGACAAAAAATCAAACATCAATAAGTATTGAGTTATCTGATCAAGAAATATACAGAAATGCATAATTTTCTCACTACTTTTGCATATTGTATGTTGAGGGTCCTGAAATGAATACTGAATCTTTTCCACTCAACTCCAGAGAGTCCCTGTCTCTCAATCTATGACAGATCCCAAATTATTTTATGCACAAGTTAAGAAAGGGGAGGGGTAAAAACTTTACTCACATATCAGTGGTCATATGGACAAATTACTTACACATGCATCAAATACATTATGGCATCAAGAAACTAATGCAGCTTATACTATGAATACTGTACTAATTTTTAGATCATGGAAATAGAGCACCAGGGTAACATGAAGCAAGGTAGAGATACAGCTGTTAATAAAGTGTCATAATAATTGCTGTGCCTTCCAGTGTTACCAGTTGTGCATACGGATGTTGTTACTTCGTGATATTGAAGATGCTCCATCCGTAATTACATATTATAGATCAAAGCTAATCCCTGTTAATATGTTATGAATATCAGAACTTCTCATCACTTTTTGACTTTCGTAAAATTTCAGTGATGGTGTCTCATCACTAACTTGTTTCCCCCCCCGAAAAAATCTGAGGTACTTCAGGACAAAATTCTACAGATGCTTTCTCGATCACTTTTTCAACATTTCAAAATCTTTTTGCTACCCACTATTTAACAAACTAAACCAAACTAAAGAAAAAAATAACCAACAGTATCTGTTGAAAAACATAATTTAGAGGACTGAGTACAATTCTCCAAGATATACTTGTTTTCTATGAAGATGAGCAAATTGTGTATGAATGCACACCTAAAAATTGTTCATATTAATTTTTTTAATTCTTTGTTTGAAATACTGTAATTGTAAACATAGTATGAATAGTTGAAAGACTTTTAGTGCTTCCATGAATTAAAATTTGCCACATATTATTTTAGAACACATTTTTCATGTGACTTTGTCATAAAATGTCGCCATATTTGTGAAAGCAGAGAGAATAATTTCTTATTTTATTTTGAAAGCTTAATTTAAATACACATTTTTAAAACGCTTCAGGGGTGAAAAGAATTCTTTGGTTTGATATGAAACATTGTTAAATAACTTAAATGAATTTTAGAAATCAGTGTTTCATTAATGGTGTAGTTAAATAGTTAAAGCCACTTGTCTTTTGATTCTAAAGAGTTTAAAGTCTGTGCAAAAATTTTAGGGACCAATTTGAAAACGTGTGCATTTCTTAGATATTGAAGAAATAAGTAGAATCTTTTCTTTTAAACATTAATGAAAATACAATGCCCAAAAATTTGATGCTTAATGTATAGGAAGATAAAAAAGGATGCATACTAATGATACGCACACCATGCAAGCATATATTTACCTTCACAAAATGGAGAGGATCCTTCAAACTGCAACTGTGCATTCAGTTTGCAGGTTAATATATCTTGTCCAACAAGGGTGAAACCAGGATGGCACTTGTACTTCACAAAATCTCCTGAAAAAGTTATTGACAAAAAAGTTAAACCCAAAAAACCCTTGAAACAGAAGTATACCAAAAGCTCAGGTGGAAGATGAAATATATTAATAGTTTAGTTTAAATAGAATTCTAGTGAAAACATAAAAAAGAAAAGGAGATACTACTTTTTCACCTATTTCAAAGTCATCATCTTCTGTAAACAAATCTGCATGTGGAACTGTGGGTGGAGGCTGGCACTTCTTCAGCTGATAAGCTGCAAAATTAAATGAAAAAAAAGATTAAATACTGGTGTGTTAAGAATTATTTTACAGAAAATTCATTTCCTATTCACACTTTCCAAATTACCAAAGCTGCACTGAATCTCATGGTCTCTCAGTTACAACATTTTCCAAGTTAAATGTCATGACATTACATATTATCTATAAAAAAATATTTTTTATCAGTATAGATAGTATATTACACTGCCTAGATAGTTATAGATCCATTGTAGGATTTGATGCAGTTGTGATGTTTATGAGGAGATTTTTGCAGCTACAAGGCTGACGTTTCTTGTGGCTGCTTTTCCATCATGTGATAGGGCTAATGGTTATAAATCACAGGTTACTTGGATTTCCTTGAAAATCTGTAATTACCTGTCACACACCTGGCATGTCATATTCATGCTTAATTTAAGCATACTTGGAGTTGATCTTTCTCAGGATACAGGTATATATATATTTACTTTAAGAAGAAACATCAGTAATCGTAATAATAATTTTATAAGTTACACAAAAAAAGCCAAAACACAATGCCTTTAAACCAAAATCTCTTCTCTACTCTTCAAATCTGTTTCAATAAATTGTGAGCAATCTCATAAGGAAGGTGACCAGTACAATGACTTGACATGTTTCTGAAATGGAGCAGAATGCCTACAACAGCTGAAGAAGCCATTTCTGGATAAAAAATCCAAAACAGAGATTTGAGATTGTGATCAGAGTGCACATACGCTGAGAAAATCTCTCCTCCTCATGGAACTAAATCACAGTCAAGAACACAAATTGTCCTTGTAACTTGATAGTCCTATGCACTTGCTGGTTTTGAGAAGTTAAGAAACACAAAATGTTGGGACTCTGCCCTTATCTTCCACGTAAGCTTTTACAGCCCGTCACTGTAAAGCAATTGTACAAGGAGAAAAAAACCCCAAACACGTGGAGAGTTTTTCATCCACGGAGAGTTTCCAAGGACAGGAAGGAGAAAGCGTATATGTATTCCTGTGTACTTAATGTATTTGTATGCTGTTCCTGATAAATATAGATATAAATATACACACACACAAAAACATACATGTAATTATTATATACATGTAATAGCACCAGTTTTTCTGGAGAACACCTGAGAAAAAAAGCTTTGCAAGCTGCTTAGACACTTGTAATAGCAAGTATCAAAGAAACAGACAGTAAGCAGGTTTCCAGCATTAACATTTTCCTTCTTTTAGGAGAAAAACATAGACAAGAAAAACATCTCAGACTCTGAGTACTAGTTTCATAAAGACTTCCCCATGTAAATATGTACCTTCAGGTACTCTCTTTCTGTGGCATTTCCTCCTGTTCTTGTGAATTAATTCACCCTATCTTTTTGAATTACAGTCCAGAAGGCTAACAATCTTTCATTCAATATCGATAATCTGGGTGAATTAGTCAGAATTAGAACTAGAATTTAGCATTTCACTTCTGAGTTAGATCCCCAAGCTGCATGCCCTGTAGCCCTGACTGTAACTTCAAAGTATTTTGCTGGATATCAGTCTTAAAGCTGTTGTTCAACCCTCCCACAGCATCCCATCAACCTTTCTGACCATGAGCCCTAGCATGGTCAGCCGGTGAAGAATTTTATTACAGAAGGTTCAAAGTAAGTTAACTAATAAATGGGCCAAAATAACTCAAAAAGTAAAAGCTTAATATTAGATAGCGATAATTAACATTAAAGACAGAATGTATTTTATTTAAAGACACAAATTAATGTTCTTAAGATCTTTTTAATGAGTTATTTTAAAAACTATTTTGTACTGTTATTTAAAAAAAGTAGCAAATCCATGAATCATGGTAAATTTATTTAAGATCATTCAGTACATCACAAAGTTAAGAATATTTTTAAAATTCACTAATTGATTGTGGTAATTAGATGCTAATGATATAAAGCAAACTGACCATGAAAATTGAGGACAAAGAATCCTCCTGTTGAAAAATCACTGTGAAATTTGAGGAGGACTTGATTGGTGGAACTGTAAGCTGTTTCCAGAGCTGTGTTTCCACTGAAAACTCCCAGCTGAGGCGAATTATGGTCAGGACCATCCCTAGGAAAGGAAACATAAAAAATAAACTGAAGAAATACTGTATTTAACATTTACATTATCAGTTTCTTTTCTTTGGGGAACAGGTTAAATTTTTGACAAAAATGTTTGTCCTAATGATTCAAAATGAGTTTGTTTTCTTTTTCATTTTCTAGCAACACAGAATACTCTTTTTAACTTCAAAGCCTAATATTTTTGAGACACCAGGAGTATTTTACAATAGCTTTTATATTTCCACAGGCAAGAAATTTATTGGCTGACTGAAATCTTCTCTGTCTGTTCCTGCCAAAGATTGTTATGTACACAGCAGCTGAAAAAAAGAATCTAGAAAACTCTTCTAATCTTATCATATTTCTGACATTTTTGACCCAGATCCTACAAGCCCTTACTCATGACTAACACTAACAGAGGTGTGGAAGTTGCAAGTTACTCTTGCCATTTAAATTCATTCTAAAGACTCAAAGGTATCTCCTAAGGAAAAAAAAAAAAAAAAAAGGAAAAAAACCATTTTCTGTTTCTGAACAGTAGGATAGACACCCGAAGAGAAATATACTCCAGTAACATCAGGCTGCATTAATTTTCAATATCATCATATAGAACATTCAGGCCTGACCAGGCAGAATAAATAAACAAACAAAAAACCCCTGCTTTTATGACTGAAAAATGTTTTGAGCTCTGCAATGCTTATTCCTGGTCTTTTTGTATTTTACATATAATGCATCTAAACTGAATAAAAAAGCTTTTGTGATATGTTTTTTAGAAGGCTGGAGATTATCTAGAAGCTTGCTGATAGCTGTTTGTCCTGGTTTCAGCTGGGATGTAGTTAACTGTCTTCCTAGTAGCTGGTACAGTGCTATGTTTTGAGTTCAGTATGTGAAGAATGTTGATAACACTGATGTTTTCAGTTGTTGCTCAGTAGTGTTTAGACTAGAGTCAAGGATTTTTCAGCTTCTCATGCCCAGCCAGGGCACCTGACCCAAACTGGCCAACAGTGTATTCCATACCATGTGACGTCCCATCTAGTTTAGGAACTGGGAAGTGGGGGGGGGAGGGATTCGCCGCTTGGGGACTGGCTGGGTGTCGGTCGGCGGGTGGTGAGCAATTGCCCTGCGCATCATTTGTACATTTCAATCCTTTTATTACTACTGTTGTCATTTTATTAGTGTTATCATTATCATTATTAGTTTCTTCTTTTCTGTTCTATTAAATCGTTCTTATCTCAACCCAGGAGTTTTACTTCTTTTCCTGATTTTCTCCCCCCTCCCACTGGATGGGGGGGGAGTGAGTGAGCGGCTGCGTGGTGCTTAGTTGCTGGCTGGGGTTAAACCATGACACTGTTAGCTTTTGACTTTCACTGTCTTTAAATCAGAGGGATATTTGTTCACCTCAGCTGTATTGTTAAAAAGCCAAGCATTAACTAATATTTGTCTATCTCAAACCTATCAAGATAATCTGTTCATAAAAAGAAAAATCCACCGTAGGGACTATGATTCAAGTTTTAAAAGAATGTGTGTCATGTACATAAATTGTACATACAACTTGTTTTTTTAAAAATGTAATTTAAATTAATTATTCTTCTCTTGTACAGTTTTTCAGGATTATTCAGGCTTCCAATTTCTACTCTTGTATTAGTGACAACAAGAATAAATAAACTATGGGTGACTTGGCATAAAAATGTATTTTGTTCTTCCTACTGCCTTGAAAACAAGAGTGAAGGTTATGAATATTGAATAGGAACTTGATAATTTACTTAGGTTTTCATTTTAAATGTCTGATTCCCAGAAGAAAAAAACAAAGGCAAACCAAAAAGCTTTACTATTAAGATTTGACTTTTTATACAGAAGTGAATGGCATATACATGAATGACTTAAACAAAATTACACTAAACAGCCTCCTCCCAGCAAATGCAGGAGCTGACCATTGCTGATACCTCAGAAAATAACTCTAAAGAAAGCATGCTTGTAATTCATGGATGATTGGGATAAGCTGTAAAACAGTTGTTTTAAAATCTTTATTAAAAGAATATAACAGTTCAGGAATTCAGCACATACTTCAGCCAAACAAGTTCAAAAAGCTGACACAATTTTAGGACTTAATTGCTTAGGCAAAAAGGGAAGTCATAGATACAGTTGGATTTTTACCAGTGAAGGTTTTTGTTTTTATTTAACATGCCAGACAGGACAACCTATGGTGCATTTAAGACTTGGGTTTATAGGTAATGCAGATACCAGAGGTAGCTAAACGGCAGATGATGAACAGTTACGCATCTCTATAAACTGACTGGATTTTCCCTGTATTACATGGACTTTAGTATTGCTGTCTGGAAAAAACTCACCCCAGACAGCAATAGGTACAGGAATAGTGGACTAGGTGGGAGATGGGAGCAGCTGACTCACAGAGGAGTAAGTTACATCCTATATTCTGTGCAAACTGTCCTTTTGCTGAACTGTCTGTAGCATGTATGAGAGCTAAGTCACTTTGCACATTATATGGGGTAAGGACCAGGGTTAGCCATAGATGAGAAAGTACGTAACAACTTCAGCGTCATCGATGCCTGCTCTTGAGTGCAGTAAATTCTTATGCAAGAATTTAGACAGCCCTGACACCTCTTCCTCCAGCTGAGGACACAAAGTTGAGATGGGTTTGGGTGGTAAGAAATACAAGTTCAGAGAAGGGGAACATATGTTATGAAGCTTAAAGACATAGAGGTACGAGGGCTAAAATCCTGGCTTCAGAAATACAGAGAGCATGTCTATCAGCCATATTAAGATATTAAGAAAATTTAATAAAATCTTAATTAATGCCTAAATTAGTTAATGCCTAAAGATGTCAAAAAGGTTTGCTACAACTAACATATTGCCTCATGTTTGTGGAACACGTAATTAAACATAATGCAGATCATTACATCACTTTGACCTCACATGGCCTCACTTAGAAAACAGAGAGCTCAAAGAAGATCTGATTGATAGCTGAGTTAGAGTTTCAAAGTAATTTTGGAACAATATTCTTAAAGAGGTCAGACAGTGACAGATAATATTTATTTTTTTTCATAGAATCGTAGAACTTGTTTTATGCTGTTCTTCAGCACATATGACAACCTAAAGAGCAATACTAAGCAAAAGCTGTAGCTTGGGACAGTAAAATCTGATAAATCAATCAGAAAAAAATCGCTTTTGTTTTGAAAAAATTGCATACCAAACTGCAATGTAGTCATTCACAGGTTCAGTCTGGAGTAAGGTAAAGTTGATATAAATCCCATGGCCTGGAGGTACAATAATTAACCAAGTACAGTCCTTGGAATTTGGGTATTCATCTGGAAATCCTGGGGAATAAACTGTACCATTCTGAGCAGTCACATTATAGCCACAAGGAGCTGAAAAGAAAACAAATGAAAAATTAGTAGGAGAAACATACTTTATCATGTTACAAATGGAATATCAAAATGCTCCCAAATTCTAAAAGCTCCACAGGACAAGACATTCTAGGTCTTAAAGACAGCATTTTTCCTTGGTTGGTTTCTTCTCAGAGACAGAAAGTATTGAAACTTCTAAGAAATAGTTCATCCTGATGTCTTTCAGATTTCATTTCTTTAAATCCATCCAAATCTACTAGAAATATTGCTTTTACACAGAATTCTTGAAACTAAGCACACATTTCAAAAGGGGTACCTTTTGCTTGCATTCAACATTGAGAAACAAATAAACAAGCAAACAAAGCTTGCATGTTTCCCTACAGCTGAACCTTAACTGAACTGGAACACAATTCTAGGGGGAAAAAAAAAAAAAAAAAAAAAAAAAGGCTGATTGTTCTTTCACTACCCCAAACCCAACCACTGTACTTTATTTCTGACAGTTTTTAGCCAAGTTTAATGATACTTCAATTGCAGTTTGTATGCTGATTATTCTTATGACAAGTAAAATGGAGATAGGGACACAAATTAGCATACACTTGCTGAATGAAATATGTGGGCAAATCAATGCCATGAAAAGGTGGCTGAGTAATTCAAGGGTAGCAAATATGTAATAATGTGCTCTCTTTTGAGTCTCAGTTTGGGGGAATTGACTGATTATAGATGCAAGCATGGATCTGAGTAGACATATGGCCATTAGTGCAAACTAATGAGTCTCACTCATTAGAGTGAGACCTTAACCTCATCTGTGGGTACTCAGCCTACCTCTGGAACTTTTCTCATTAGCTCTTACCATAAAGCTTATGTTATTATTGTCAGGGTTCCTGCAACTCCTTCAGACCCTCTTCATTTCTTTTTCACCTTTCAACAAGTGATGGAAAAGGAAAAGGGAAAAGGGAAAAGGAAAAAGGAGAAGGGAAAAGGGAAGAAGGACTGAGAAATGCAGAAGGATGTCACATTTCCCATGTGGAAAATGTGCAGCTATATCATTGGGGTAGAAAGATCATCTGGCTAGCCCTTTTTGGATGAACTGTTTTAGTAATCACTGGATTTATAGGACAGGTTAAGGAGGCTTTAACCACTTCACTTTCTTCATCCGTATCAGTACTAGCTAATATGATGAATTTAGCACATCTTCGCATCTTAGAACAGAATAGCATCTGCTCCTGAACTACAACCCTTTAGTGCCCAACAAAAAGGAAACAAGCTAAGGAAAATGAAGAGTTGGTTTTATCTGTCTGACTCCTGGTTGCATGTACATGCCAAGGGCAGCTGGTAATGCCTATCAGCTCTGATAGTTCTATGATGAAAATGAGACTTGAGCCCATTTTTTCCTGTTCCCTAATCCCCTACTTTTATGCCATGGTCAGATTGCTTGGTCTCAGAAATCTAGTCTGTTCTCTCAACAGTACTCCATGTTTACGGCTAAAAGACTGCTTTGACAAGTATGCTTACTACATTGAAATACACTTTCTGAGACTAATATAGTGACAAGTGGAAAATCCTTTAAGTTCTAGTTAAGATCTAGGATTTTTCTGATAGAAGTTTTATACTTAAATATATTTTGAGTTTATTATATTTTTTACAGATTTATTAATGTTGTCAATGATTGCATATTTTTTTTATTTTGCCTCCATTATTCTCTAATACTCTACAAAGAATGCAGATGATTGATTGCATCTCAGTAAAGATAGTCTAATTCCTCTTATATCATTGTTAGCCATGACAGATCAATAAATTGTTTCAGAAAAAAAAAAGTGTCACAGATAACAAAACTCTAATAGAATAAGCAATACACACAGCTGATACTAGGCTTTCTCCAAAGATCCTTAAAGATCACAGGAGACAGAAGATTAAACAGAAATAACAGGCTATATTTCACACAAGACAAAAATAGCTTTAGTATGAATAAACAAATCACTCTAAATTAATGAAGTTGTTATATTGCAGAGAAGTTTGTATTGTGAAAGTTCATATTATAAACCTGAAACTCATCTACCTCAAGGACAATGTCAGTTATGAACTTGGGGATGCCCATCTTCAGCCCCATGATACAAGAAGTTTAACCATGTCATCCTTTCATCACAGAGCATAAAGCCAACAAATCTGTCTTCTGAATGGGAACAGAACTGCGTAGACCAGAGGCTTAGTTTACTAGCTTAAGACAGACAACTGAATGACCTAACAGGTGCTAGACAGCCATACACCACAGAACTCAGATGACTTAGGGGAAGAATCCAGAAAAAAAATCCTGAAGTTCTAGCCACAGTGCTCTAAGTGGCAACCACCAGTCTTACAATTATAAAAAAAAATGCCCATGAAATCTCAGAAAGTTTCAAATTTTTAACAATTCAGTATAAAAAAATGAATATATTTGCAAAGTGCTGTTTTGCTGGGGCAGGGGTGTTTGAATTCATTGTGCTGTTGGCAAGTGCCTGCAGTTTAGCTAAACATTACAGGCATACTCATATTCTCTAATATGATCTGATAAACCCTGAGATTTGTTTTCACAAAACTAACACAGATCTTCAGTGAGATTCCTTAGAAGGGCAAACTTCCAGCCTCAACACTACCATTTCCCAGCTTGTTTTTATTTATTTTTTTTTCCCTATCTATTGATAACCCTGATATTACTCAAGAGGCAAAAACCCAAACCAACCCAAATGAAACAATAAACCCACAACATTTCTTTAGCATAAAGGGAGGGAACTCTACAAGTAGACTGGAAAAATTCTATCAGTTTAGGACTTCTAGCAATTTGACATCTCCTACTGTCTTCCTAGGTTCAAATGTTTAGAAAAAACAGCACTATCAGGAGCCACCTAATCTAACTGTTGTTATCTTCCCCCAGGTCCCAGGATTTTTTCCTATTAATTAAATTGGAAGTAGCATATCTTTTGTTTCTCTAGGAAGAGCTAATATACAAAATTTGAACATAGTAGATCAAGTGGCTAAAAATATCAAACTATGATTATACAGAACATAGAAGTGGGGCAATTTTTAATGCCAGTAGACAAACAAAATACACTGCTTCATATTTTTGAGAGAGACCTGCACTATGGTAATTCCCTTAGTCCATATGAGAAGCTTGAAAGGGTACTGAACATTTTTCTAGTACTACTATAAATCCAAAGAAATCATGAAATACAGAAAATATATGGAAAGGATAAAAAGCCCTTAACAAGTAAAACCTTAGCCATGTAGCCCAGTAAATATAGTTATGCACTGCTAATAACAGTCCATAGACTTTGTGTTAAGCTTACAAAACAGGCCACAGGCTCTGTCAGGTTTTTTATGGACTTGTTCTGGCAGTCTGGAGACTTGTTTTAACTTGTAATTATCTAATGATCGTCGGGAAACTACTTACTACTTCATTTTAGCTTTGTACAACTGTGTGATATAACACAATATCATATATATATGTATATATAATTCTGAATAAAAGAGAGTGATAACAAATAGGTTTTCTCTATAGAATGAACTTCTTGTAGCCCTTCTCCCAGACTGAGACCATTCACCTTAAGACATATAGGTACTGGAAGAGTGAGTGTACACCAGAGAAAGGGGTAGATATTAGATGTTTGTCTGTATGTCATTCTAGCATTACCTAATTTAAAATATTAGTAACACTGTAACTGTACTAATAATAATCTTTTGATTAGACTGTTAAGATTTTCTTTGGAATAACATTAAAGCCTTGGCTTTGCATCTATGGCATGTTCCTTTTGCCCATACCTATATCCCGAGTGTAACAGACTGGTGAGGATTCAAGCAACCTATCTCATAACATGGATGCAACAAATTCTTACCAATATATGAAAAAGCAAGAACATCTACAGATAATAATAGCAGAGACACTGTCATGATGATTTTCTTACTTGAAGGGGACAAACAGAGAAATACCAGGTGTGTTCAATATTCTTGAATCACAGACCTATTTTCCACATCTTACACACAAATATTCATAAACTTTTTTTTTTATTAATCATTTATGGGTGACATATTCATTGTCAGAGTTCCATGGGACAACTGCACAGACAACCCAATGTATTCCTCTGAAGCAGCGTCAACTTTCTTTTGTGAGACACTACCAGATCTCTTATTTCTCTCAGCCTTCTGAAGTATGTGCAATCTTCTGTAGAAATGGTTTGATCTGAACTTTTAAGAATACTGGCCATAGCTAGAAAATTGATTGAATTCTTCCATTGATTTTGCTCTCAGACCAACTGCCAAATTGCAATGATCAGAGACCTTATAGCCATTTGTTTTCCTTATTGCAAAAGCATTTATATGTCGTAATAATTCTTTCAGCAGTGCTAGACTGAGCTTTAATGTACAGAAATGAATTTTTGACAAAGCAAGTAGTGTGCTACCCGACAGACTGAGAAAACTCTGCAAGCTCAGTCAAAACACTAAGAAACCTGCTCTTTAGTCAGAAATCATAGCTATAAATGTACACAACTGCACACACAACAGAGGTGCATGCATTCAGGCCTCAGCTGTGCTGAGCTGTGCAATGTAGATGCCTCTGGGCAGGCTTGGAAGGTAGGATTCACATCCAAAGGACCGAGGACAAATGTACATTCTCAGTTACAGCCATGTTAGTAACAGAGAACAGAGGAATTACTTCCTTGAGTTAGGAATGAAGATAAAACTACTAAATTAAAACTAACTGGATGGGGGGACAGGGAGAAGAAAGAATGACTTCATGTCATTATAAACTAGGTATTATTTTCTCTTCCTGCCCGTTGATTCAAACAGAACAAATTGTTTACGCACACTTCATCTAAGAAAACATAGAAAATGATAATTTGTACTACAAAAATCTAACCTACTCCTAACATAGACATCATGTGTCTTCAATATTCTTTTAGGAAACATGTTTCTCTAGGGACTAAAAAGGAATGAGAGATAAAAAGATACAAGGCTGCTATGCCCTTTGGTGCTGCATCTATATCACTACT